TGATTACTGCTAACCAATTATTATTGTAATTAGGATATTATTGCCGGGATGGAGCTTCGTGCTTGATATAATCTAGGATACTAAACAAGTTTTGCGGGGAAGAGATTTTAAATTATAGTTTAATACCGGTTAGTTTTCTGAGAAAATCTTAAACGAATTTATATATAATTAGTTAATCTACTAAAGTTGACTGTGAAAGAAATACGATCTTATAAACTTCCCCAAGAATGTTCGAGACTAAAATTAAATTAACATATTAATGTAATAGACATAGACATGCTCTAATGGATATTGCACTTATTAGTCAAATAAGTTGATATGCTTCAATTCTACATGTAAATTTATAAACAAATTTACTTAGATTTGATTTAATTAAATACATATTTTGAAATTTTGAATATTTATTTTTAAATTTTTATTTAAATTTTATAATTTATAAAATTTAAATAAAAATTTTCTAGTAATTAAATTTTGGAGTTCACCTAAGTAAACAGGATCGGGTATTCTATTCATAGAAATGTTAAAAGTTCGATTCGGTTCGACTCGACTCCATGAGTCGAGTCTTAATTTAGACTCTGTTCCAAGTCAGACTTGAACCGAGTTTTAATAGTCACATGCAATATTAGATATCATGGGATTATGACGATAATGATAGATAGATAACTTTATTTATTATTGTATAAAATAAAAAAATACTAAAATATATCAAATAATTCATATTCCTGTATTCTATAATGATTTTTGTCTATTCTAAAATTCCCGTTTCTAACCAATTTTTTAAAAATAATGAAGCTTTAATTGTTTGCTTTAGAATAATTTTTTTTGCCACGGACAATGCATTCTTAGAGGGAATGCTAGTAGTTTGTAGAAAAAAAAAGTTTGCCACTATAAGTGCTAAGGTTGGGTACTGGTAAGCATTATTTTTCCACCACATGAGCATATTGATTCCTGGCTCACTAGTTAAAGCAAGGTACTGTATATGTCTAGCTTACTAGCTTATTTTTATCTTATTTGCTAGATAATATTTAATAAAAAAATTTTAGAGAATCTTTAATTTGAGGTACTGTATATTAATGCTGGGTTGGATATTGGACATGTTTAATATCTAGTCCATGTCCAATTCATTGGACCAAAAAGTATTAGATATTGGATATTATGTAATATATAAACTATGTGACAAATAGCCAATTAAAAATTTTCAAGTACAGTATTATATTAAGAAAGTTATAATTATGTGATAAAGATAAAATTTATAAAAAGTTTGTTAAAATTAAGGTTAGCATTTATATTAGAGCTAAAATATATAATAAAATCATCCAAAAAAAACTTTTGCTAGATTATATTTTTATCAAAAAATTTTTTTTTATATTTTAGAATTATTAAATATATTAAATAAAACAAGCATAGTAGAAAATTTATAAAGTAGCAAAAATACTCTTTTAGAATATTTTTATTTCTTTTGCTGCTTTATTAAAAAGGCAATTATTAAGATATAATAAGAGGCTATAAATAATTGTTTGTATACCTTTATAAGAAACTTATAATATAACTAAAATTGCTATATAAAGAGGCTTAAAGATTTCTAATATTTCTTTAATTATTTTTCAATTAACAAAATTAAAATAAATTTTCTTGTAAGTTTATTAGTGATAATACAAACTTAAATAAATCATTTAAATATTAAATAAGTAAAATGCTATTCTTTTTATTAATAATTTTAAGATAAATCAATAGATGATTTAATAAGACAGAAATTTTTTCTAATTTTGTCAAGAGTAAAGGTAATATTAATTTGTTATACAAATTATAAGCATTATTTATTTGGTCAGAATAACTTTTTTTAAATTCTTTAGCTACTTAATTAATAATATATAATAAAAAATAAATAAATATAAAAAAAAACTTCTAGCTTTTTTAAGATAATTATAATAATTTTGGTTATTTAATATATTATTTCTAGTTAGTGCTTCTACAGACCAGATTTAAACTAGACTTTATTCAAGTTTGAGTCTAGTTTGATTTTCAAACTAGACTTAACCTTTTATATTTAAACTTTTTAGTCAAGTCTAAGTTTGGTCTAAATTTAGATTTGGTTTAAAGTTTGCAAATTAATCATCAGCAAAAAATATAGATACAAAATTTCGAAAGTTATTGCATGCAAAAAAATTGCAAAAGAATTGTGTTTGACATAACAGATTGCGAAATTTTAAAATTCACAATATTGTGCAAAATATTTTGAAAATTTGTGAAAAGTTTTGTGAAATTTTTTGCAAATATAAATATATTAAAAACAAATATATAAAATAAAAAATTGAAAATTTAAAAAAAAATTTCACAATTTTTTGAAAGTTTTTGAAAAATTTTGAAAAAATTATTGAAATATTTTTGAAATATTTTCAAAATATTGAAAAGTTTGCAAAATTTTGTAACAATTATTGCGAAATTATATAAAAATTAATATATTAAAAACAATATATAAAATAAAATTTCGAATAATATTAAAATTTTTCAAAAATTTTGAAAAATAATTATGCAAATATTAAATCATTTATAATAGATTATAAAATTTGATTCTAATTTATTTTAGAATTATTTTTTATACCCTCTAAATTTACTATTCATACCATCCATACCGCAACTTTCTGACTGTTCTATGATTACGTGGAATGATTTTTGCAATTTCACTTGTGATTGGATGATATCATCACACAAGACAAATACTATGTAATCTCTAACAAACAAAATTATTTTCTAATCATCATGTGGTTACATGAAGTAATTTTGTATTTTTGTCTGATTGAATGATATTGTTATATGTAGAGCATCTTCTTACATAAACAAAAAAATGTAAATTAGTACTAAATCAATCTAGTTTCAGATTACTTTTGTAAATAAGCACTCTTTACTATAAGATGTGTATTATTTTGAAACACACATGGGTGTTATTTTGAAGCTATATATGTTATTTTTTAGAAAGTGCAATTTTCAAAATAATGCTCATGAATATTATTTCATAAAAATTTTATATTAGCTAAGCAATTTTGATTTTGTTTATAATTAATTTAGTCAAAGCGCAAAAAATTTTTTATTGTGTTTATTGTATGCTTTAAAAAAATCAATCAACAAAAAAAAAATAAATAATAGAATTTTGTTTCAAACCAATATAGTAATTATTTTCAACAATCTAATTGAAAAAAAAACTTACATACTTCAACAAAGGACATAAACTAGTATCCAAGTAAAGCTGGAATCT